GTCATAGCTGAACAGTCGAAAGCACACCTATCTTAACAGATGTTTCCCCAAGGAACATGGCTGTAAACGATTTCAAAAGACACATTTTCTTTAAGCCTTTTGGTTGTCCAAGCCAATAGATGTAAATTTTAATGTTTAAAAAAAGAGGTGTCTACTCGTACCTGTATCCACTAAATACAATGTTTATAGCAATAAAAAATAATGTCAGATTATAAATAAAAGTCAATAATTCACTCAAAATTACTTTACATTTCAAATACAAAAGTTAGCAAATATAGTCTTCAAAAGGTCACAACAAGAAATTGTGCATTTCTTAAAAAAGGTAATTAAGCTTTGTTTTGCTGAAGTCTTTTCATGGCGGAGCAGTCTAAAGTACACCTAACTTAAAAGGTGTTTTCTTCAATAGAAGGTGCGAGAGTTTTAATCTCTATTAAAAGGCACATTTTCTCTCTTAAGATTTTCAATTGCCGAGACCAGTAGACGTAAACTATGATTTCAAAAACAGGGATGCCTACTCAAATATGTGTATCCACTAAAATATAACATTTATAACAAGAGTAGTAGATGTCCATTAATATCACAAGACATATATATATATATATATATATATATATATATATATATTTTATATATATATATATATGTATTTTATATATATATATGATGGTCCCTGTTTCTTGTTTTTCTGAGCATATTGATTTAAAAATTCCATCGTATATCTCCCGAAGAAGGCTGGAGCATGCAACAGACAAACCATTGTGAATATGGCAATAGAGATGAGGTCAACAGTCTGAATGATGCAAAAAATAATGAAAATGAGACAATAAGTAGTCAACTGCTGATACCTCCTGAAGAGTGGACAGAGCGATTGCTAAAAGGACTGTCTATGAAACTCTGCAGCTGGGGTGGTGAATATAATATCAATCAGCCAAGTGACAAATTTCATATTTGTATTAATCATATATATATATATATATATATATATATATATATATATATATATACATTAATCTTTGAAGAGCATAAAAATCAGCCCAACAGCAAGTATCATTTAGTCAATCAAGGAAATGAAAATCTGCTTAGAGGTGAAAATATCAGAATCAGATATATATCTCATTTATTATTAATTATGACCCCTTTGGAGAGTTGGCATAAAAGGTGAATAGATAAGGAACTATACTGATTAGTAAAACATATAGGGATGAAAGGGTTAAAGCTTACCTTCGTCTGACATATGGTAATCAATTTGAGGACCTGCATTTCTTTCACGGAAGCTCACACCTCTGGCATGTTTCTCCATGCCTTCCTGCATGACTGTTTTCAATGGCATGATCTACAATATGACAATAAAGGCATAGGTTGCACAATATGATTGATATCATTCAGCATCTATTCATCTGCAGAGGAAAGTGCAGAACCAAATGGGGGGAGGGAAATTCCAAGTAGGAAGATTGTATTGCATCAATCTGAAAAGGGTTTGCTTGCTTTGAAAATCAATATTCAAAATCTTAACTTTGCACAAACAACAACCATTGACATCAGTGGGGAATATTCAACTATTTCAGCCACCAAGTAGCCTTCTTCATGTTCTTGATGTTTCTTAAGCTGATGTTAGTCTGGCACAAGGCTGAATGAGGAAAATTCACATTTGGAAGATTGTGTTGTGCCAGCTGAACAAAGTTTAATAACTGTCAATGTCAGCAGACTATACGAAAAAAGTCACAACAATTCAAAACAAAAAAATGCTTTCACTTAGGAGCATATCATCCTCTCTGGGTTGATATGCCACTAAACAAAGACGTATAAAGAAGATGTAACTAGAATTTTATATAGTCAGCCAGTGCTCTCTTTTATGCTCTTTTTATATTCTTCATCTATCATAATATATTCTGCCCATATTTTTTATGTATATCTTTTCATAGATGACTTCAGTTACAACATAAGTGAAAAAGAAAATGCTTTATATATATATATATATATATATTAGTTTATGAAAAACTAGGTAATCCGTATGGGTAAACCTAAGGAGGATAAAATCCAGAGAGCTCAATGTAAATCCAGAGCAAATAATTTAAATTTTTATATATATATATATATATATATATATATATATATATACTTGACTCTCTCATCGAATTCAATGTATGATGGTCAAGCAGATCAGTTCCTAGGAAACTGACAGCCCGACACCAGCACATGAGATTTGATTATACTAGTGAAGGTTTTGTGCAGAACCATCCACACTTTTTGAAGGGCCGAATACAGACTTGGTTCAATACGTGCCACAAGATCCCCAAACGACCCTCCGAAAGTTTTTGAATTCAGAGTTGTCCTTTCCCTAGACCAGTTGTCATCCAAGGCTATAGAACCCAGTATGTCCTGCTATTTACCCATAGCTGGAGGGAGAAGAAGATTCACACCTTTCCCAAGGGTATTAGCACGTAAGTGAATGTAATGGATTCAACTGGAATTCCAACTCGGCTCTCCAATTCCTCAACCCAAGACGCTATCCATTACTCCACCGTATATATATATATATATATATATATGACGTCACACATTATGAAATGGACAAAGTCCAACAATTATTTTAAGACATTTTTATGTTTAACATTCTTTTTATAGATACAAATATTTAAGTAAATGCTCTGTTTATAATAAACAGTATTAAACAACATTTACCGGCCTGAATGTCTGAGAAATTTTCACAGAAAATATTCATCCTCCAACAGGATTTGAATCTGTATCCTATACGGAACCGTCATTTAGCTTGACGTGCCTTTACTGATTTGGCCACGAAGGAGCGTTCGGTTAGCAAGGTCGAATAATATATATATATATATATTACTTTAACTGCATCAAACTACTTAAAGATAAAACAGTGACATTAGGTAGATAGGTAGGTAAAAACATTTCAAATGACCATCTAACCTTGAAAATGAATGGGAATGCCTATACCCCAGTTTTGAGTTTGTTTCTGCAGCTGGTAGACAAGGAGACTGGCCATTCAAATTGATATATATTACAAGCAGTATCAATTATTGAAGCCTCAGAATCAGAAGCACATGAGTAATTAGGATAATGGGTTTTGTAAATTATTTGTGTTGAGCTTTCAAAAGCAACCCAGTCTAGCTCACCTGGAACAAATTGAGACAAATAGATTGATAGATATGAAGAAACTCAGATAGATATAAGCAGACATTTTTGTAATCATTTCACTCCATGCAAGGCAGCAACACTACTAAGATATGAGTGGTTACTAAAAGAAAATGAAAAACTATTACTGAGCAGAAAGGATAATAACAAAAAAAATAGGATTCAGGAAGATATAAGATTGTGATTAATGCTTCATTTAAATTTTTGAAGATCATAGGTAAGAGGAAAACATAGAAACCAGAAGAGAGTTCCACAGTAAAGAAGTGCAAAAAAAGAAACTATTAGAATAGAACATGTGGTTGCATCTAGCTAGTTCAACAGTAAAATGGTGAGACCTCATTGCCAAACTTAAATTCATGCAGTCAAGTCACCAGGGAGGAATGCTTATCAGAACAACTGGTATGAAAATATTTGTAGAAAATACAGACGGAAGCCATATCACGTCAGTGAGAAAGTAACTCAAGTTGAGATGGCAGGAGAGAATGTGCACCTTTTCGGGGCCTTCAGGAGAGGAAGGCCCCGAAACGGTGCACATTTTCTCCTGATGACCCCAGTTTAAATATAAATTTGAGAGGAACACATCAAAATTCAGTGAAGTCATATGCCGTAGAGAAGCTCGGTGGAAGTGTCATTGGCATGAGGAGCATTACACATTCAGCTCGCATTAGGTGAGTTTCAATTACTTTCCAGTAATTTCCTTCTTCAGTTTAGGAGATTATACAGGTGATGTAAGAAAAAAAAATGACCATATTTGGGAGCACTTACACCTATGAAATGGAATCTTCAATTATGATAAATAAAATCAGAAAAAATAAATACATTTGACTGAACATGCCAAGACTTGTGGAAAATAGAACTTAGATTTATGTCTCAATATTACATGACACCTAGTACTACATGTAGCAATGACACCTAGTATTAGATGTAACTTCATGCAGTTGATGTACCAAAGAGGAAAGGTCATTAGAATAATTGCCATGAAGATATTTATAAATTTATACAAAAGACACAGGGAAAATAACAAAGATTGTGTTTCAAGTAGGTTAAGTAGTGTATTTCTGGAAGATAAGGCTTTTAGGGCAAGCAGGCTTTGTAAATAAAATGCTCAATATCAAGAGATAGAGAGAGAGAGAGAACATTAACAGCAATAAATAAAATTAAATGTGCCTGTCCATACTCTGAGTTTTATGGAGATGTATTCACTTGTCTGTGAGATTGGTAGCAAAACAGAATTTTACAATCAAGTCCCCAGATAAGTGGGCAGATCTCGGCAAAAGTCAGGACAGATAAGTGTATATTTAAATTCATTTGTTCATATAGAGATAGATATGAACAGACTACAATTGATGGATTGATATGAACAGACTACAATTGATGGATTGATATGAACAGACTACAATTGATGCATTGATATGAACAGACTACAACTGATGGATTGATATGAACAGACTACAACTGATGGATAGATATGAACAGACTACAATTGATGGATTGATATGAACAGACTACAATTGATGGATAGATATGAACAGACTACAACTGATGGATTGATATGAACAGACTACAACTGATGGATAGATATGAACAGACTACAACTGATGGATTGATATGAACAGACTACAATTGATGGATTGATATGAACAGACTACAATTGATGGATTGATATGAACAGACTACAACTGATGGATTGATATGAACAGACTACAATTGATGGATTGATATGAACAGACTACAATTGATGGATAGATATGAACAGACTACAATTGATGGATTGATATGAACAGACTACAATTGATGGATTGATATGAACAGACTACAATTGATGGATTGATATGAACAGACTACAATTGATGGATTGATATGAACAGACTACAATTGATGGATTGATATGAACAGACTACAATTGATGGATTGATATGAACAGACTACAATTGATGGATTGATATGAACAGACTACAATTGATGGATTGATTGAACAGACTACAATTGATGGATTGATATGAACAGACTAACAATTGATGGATGGATATGAACAGACTACAATTGATGGATAGACTACATTGATGGATGGATTTGATGGATTGATAACAGACTACAATTGATGGATTGATAACAGACTACAATTGATGGATTGATATGAACAGACTAATTTGATGGATTGATATGAACAGACTACAATTGATGGATTGATATGAACAGACTACAATTGATGGATTGATATGAACAGACTACAATTGATGGATTGATATGAACAGACTACAATTGATGGATTGATATGAACAGACTACAATTGATGGATAGATATGAACAGACTACAATTGATGGATTGATATGAACAGACTACAATTGATGGATTGAGACTACAATTGATGGATTGATATGAACAGACAGATATGAACAGACTACAATTGATGGATTGATATGAACAGACTACAATTGATGGATAGATATGAACAGACTACAATTGATGGATTGATATGAACAGACTACAATTGATGGATAGATATGAACAGACTACAATTGATGGATTGATATGAACAGACTACAATTGATGGATTGATATGAACAGACTACAACTGATGGATTGATATGAACAGACTACAACTGATGGATTGATATGAACAGACTACAACTGATGGATTGATATGAACAGACTACAATTGATGGATAGATATGAACAGACTACAACTGATGGATTGATATGAACAGACTACAATTGATGGATAGATATGAACAGACTACAACTGATGGATTGATGGACTTTGATGGATGATGTGAACAGACTACAATTGATGGATTGATATGAACAGACTACAATTGATGGATTGATATGAACAGACTACAATTGATGGATTGATATGAACAGACTACAACTGATGGATTGATATGAACAGACTACAATTGATGGATAGATATGAACAGACTACAATTGATGGATTGATATGAACAGACTACATTTGATGGATAGATATGAACAGACTACAATTGATGGATTGATATGAACAGACTACAATTGATGGATTGATATGAACAGACTACAATTGATGGATAGATATGAACAGACTACAACTGATGGATTGATATGAACAGACTACAATTGATGGATAGATATGAACAGACTACAATTGATGGATTGATATGAACAGACTACAATTGATGGATTGATATGAACAGACTACAACTGATGGATTGATATGAACAGACTACAATTGATGGATAGATATGAACAGACTACAACTGATGGATTGATATGAACAGACTACAACTGATGGATTGATATGAACAGATCACAATTGATGGATTGATATGAACAGACTACAATTGATGGATTGATATGAACAGACTACAACTGATGGATAGATATGAACAGACTACAACTGATGGATTGATATGAACAGACTACAATTGATGGATAGATATGAACACATATAGATAGATATGAACACATGAAGACTACAATAGATAGAAATGAACAGACTGCAATAGATAGAAATGAACAGATTACAATAATAGATATGAACAGACTATAATAGATTACAAGAGGTGACTGGACTGGAAGTGAAAGACAATGAGAAAACTTTAAGGAGAAGTGAGAAGAAAGAACAATAAAAGAACTGGATTCAGGAAGACAGAAGATGGTGATTTGGCATCACATTTAAATTTTTGAAGATTGTAGGTGGCAGGGAAGTAAGAAATCAAAAGGGATTTTCACAGGCGAGAAATGCAAGAAAATAAATTATTAGAATAGAACATATGGTTGCATTTAGCTAATTCAACAGTAAAATGGTGCAACCTAGTTGCCAATTTAATAGCACACTTAAATTCATGTAGTCAAGGCATCAAGAAGGAAATAGACAGAGGGAAGCTATATAACATTGGTGAGAAAGTGACTGAAGTTGAGATGCCAGATCAGGATAGATATATATGTATGTATATAGGTGCTGTGAGAGAAAAAATGACCATATTTGGTAGCACTTACACCTATGAAAAGGGATCTTCAATCATGACAAACAAAGTCAGAAAAAGGGAATACATTTGACTTAACATTTACACGACTTGTTGAGAATAGCAACCCATTCTTTTATACTATATTATTTTTTGTATATAATTTTCTTTGCAAGTTGAGCCTTTTTAGTTGTATACTGAAATTTAGAAAGACAAAAATTACACAATAGGCCAAAAGTTGGTAGGGGGCCACCCTCTGGATTCAATAATTAGTAAGTTTCATGCCTTCTTTAGTTTAATTAACTACTACTAAGCCAAGATGCTGAAACTATTTAACCCATTATTGCATGGTGTCCAATTTATTTAGAGAGGGGCTTACTTAAAATTTAAAAACCGCCAGTCCTAAGATTACCGTTATCCAGACAGGTAGATTAGGCAAAAAGAGTTACAATTTTAAGGTTACTCTATTCAGCAATGGGTTAATTTCATTGTTATATTGAATCTATGATAAAACCATTCAGGAAGAGAACGTCCCTTTGGCCTGAAGTGAGCTAGTAAATTAGTTTTGAAAAAAAAGGTAGACAACCTTCAATTTTTAGGCAATACATTGAAATCCAGAAATTGGCGCCAAACTTTTTGCCTATAGTGTATATCCAAAAAAAACATTATTCTAAGAGACTTCAGTCTATGGCCTGAGAAAAATTGAAGTAGAACTGATCTATACAGCCCGGAGAATGATTTATAAGAATATTTATAAAAGAATTGCAGTTTGTACTTACAACAGGGTTAGTTATCTTAGCAGCACAGTGGTCATCAGGATAGATGCGCGCAACCTTGTCATCAAGGATCTTGTGTCCATCAGGAGCCAGTTTACAGTAATCTTGGATACACTGTATCCACCACCAGAATGCATCACGACAGTTGTAGCGTGCACCCTCACCTTCCAGGAGAAGATTAGGGATCAAGCCATGACGCAAACAGCCACCATAGGCCAAGATGAGGTACCTAAGGTCCACAAAGAGAGAAACAATTACAGACAATAGAATAGAATAAAAAAAAAAACTCTCAAACACATTAAGAAGTTCTCTCCAATTTACAAATAAACTTCCAGAGATATGAACAAATTTTGAACACCGTGACAATTCATAAGTTCAATACTATATAACAGCTGCCAATTACTGTAGCAACTAAACATCTAAATTGAATGCAATTGTTGCTGTTGGTCTGTGGGGTCATAATAATTCATCAGTGTGGAAAGTGGAACCAGTGTGCTGAGTTCAAATTCCAGCCTACTCTGTTGCATTCACTTTCACACAATTAACCTTGGGAAAGGTATGAATCCATCTCTTGTTTGCCGCAGCTCTGGGTTGAATAGTAGAGCAGTCTAGGCTTTTTAGCCTTAGTAAGGCAACCAGTGTGGGATAAAGACAACTCTGAATTCAAAGCCAGTTTAAAGATGAACAGGCTCTTTCAGGCTATCATGCCCTAGACACACCCCAGCTGCTATGACTGCAATACATGTGGTGCTCCTATAATTCTAATGGGTTACAGAACTCATGATTATGATCATGAATAATCTAAATGCCTTTATCATTATATATTTAAGAATATTTGAACTTCAAAATAAGTACCAGGAACAAATCCTATATCCAATTTATGTGTGTGCATGTGAAAGGATTAATAATACAGAATATCATCAAATCAATTTGACAAATATAAAGTATGCTGAAATTAAAATGAAAGCAATTCAAGTCAAAAAATTATTAATAAATAATTAACAATGTTTCATCTAAGAAAATTAAAAATGACAAAATGTTGAAAAAAACCTCCAAGGCCTATAAGAAAGTTAGTAAGTTAATCCTATTTTTCTCTGTAAAAAAAAAATATATATATATATATAAGTTCAAATATATAAGTTCAACCAGCACTTTGATCTCAAGAATGCCACACTTATTAAAAAAGAAAATAACTTACATAGAATGTGCTTGAGGGTGAAACTCTCAATTCTTGCAAAAATGTTAACTTACTCCCTGGATCTTTTCAAATATCACCTTTCTTAAAGGAAATACTCCTTTCAAAGCCAACATACATGACCACAAAATTTTTTAAAATTAAAAGAAGATGGTTAACTTGAGAGCTTGTATACAATAAATAAATGCATAAATAATTTATCAAATTAAAATCAAATAATAATTACATTAGAACAAATTATATATATATATATATATATATATATATATATAGACAAATATGAAAATAAAAAAAAAATCACAATAACAATATTTACTCACTTTTGTTTATGAGGCATTAAATTACATCACTTAGTGTCTGCTATAGTTTATCCTTAGTTATTTTAGAGTATTCTTAAACTTAAAATTTTTAAAATAAAATCTGTACATTTACCTTGATAAAGTCCCTCAGGGAATGAAACACATTGGTAAAGTAAAGTTTTTTTTTGTCTCTCTCTCTCTCTCTATATATATATATATATATATATATATATATATATAAAATTAACTGATTTAAAAATATGGTTTCATCAAATTAATGAATAAAGAAAACCATAATATTCTAGTTAGGTCAAAAAATAATAAAATGGTTGATAAAATTCATTTTCTACAGCTTATCAACTCTTTGCAGGTTATTTAAAGCCAGAAAATATTTTTAGATGTAAGTAGTTTTATTTTTTTTTGAGATAATAATGGTTTAGTGATAAAAGTTTTACTAATTAATCCATAGCAGAAAGAAGAAATGAATTCATGCCTGATCAGAATTTGATAAACAAACAAGAAATTATGTGGATGTAAAGTGGGGGATCAGGAATTACCATGTTTCAAAAACTTCAAATTCAATTATATTAAATTAAAAGCATTAGTTCTGTTTTATCTTCAAGCGAATTTTGGAATAACTTATTTTAAAATTTACTAAGTTTAAGAGCACATATATTCATAATTTTTGTTTCCAAGGATACAGAGAAATCCAATCATTTAGACAAAGGTGGTAGCATGTTTTTAATTTACTATTATTGCATCAATTATGAGTTACATTCGAAAATGGGTTAAGTCTAGGTAGGGTAGGGGTGCCTTTTTTCAACAAATTATGACATCTGTTTAATGCATGTCGTCTGTTTTTTTATCAACGGCCAAAAGGTTTTCAACATTTTATTTGTTAAACTTCTACTTGTATACATACAGATTCTTTCTAAAAGGGGTGTTTGGATTAGAATACATTGTAATGATCTACAATTTTAAAATATTACATACTTTACTATTCTTCCTTTTTTTACTATAAAATATATATATATATATATATATATATATATGAATAAAGACAAAAGGAAAACTTAGCTGATGCATTTCATCCTCTGAAGGACGTTATCAAAGCAAATGCATTGATTTTATTTTGGAACAAGTATTTATATACAAGAGCAAAGATGTTATTGGTTTTTCAAAATTTTTAAATTTAAAAACACTCATAAATATTTATCAGGTTAACTGAAAAATCAGGCAAGCTCTAGAAGACAGAAAGTGATGGAATTCCATGTTTAATAAACAAAAGTAAGTGATATTTTGGAATTTTTTTATGCAAAATAATATTTAAATTATTTTAGACTGGGAATAATTTGTGCTCAATATCCATGATAGAGCTAAGATATGCGCTTGCATGATGCAACTACATATATGTGTGCATGTGTGTGCATGTGATAAAAAATTTACAATGAAATTCATTTTTCAACAGCAGATTCAGTGTCTATTTTTTCTCCCAAATTGTGTGGAAATCTTTTGAACAGACACAGACACATACATATCTTAGTTGTATTTGGACATTAATTTATGCAGGTTTAGTTGGAGACTAACGAAAGTTAGTTATGTAAGACATTTTTCGTTTAATGTTTCTACAGTTCAGTTTATTATTTCTGGTTACCCAGGAGAATTTGAACATAAATTGTCCAATGTCTTCTAAATCTTCCTCGTTTTCATAAGAGTTCTATTTGTTGCTAGGGTTGTGGCTATGTGTATATAATGCTTTTCTTTGGTAGTTTTCAGGTGTCAAGTCTCCCTATGTCATTGTGGGTCATATCAATTTTTTCCAAGGATTGTGTCTTCATGAGTCAGTTTGTGGCATTATGGCATTTCTTTTATTAGTTGTGAAACATGTATAGTGTGTTTGTTGCCTAAATTGAATGAAATTTTATTGATGTTTGTTTGTCTGTCTTTTATGGTTAAAGTTTCTAATATTTATAATCATTTTTTTTGCTATCTATGTTGTATACTATTCATATATGACTGCTAAGGATTTGTTAAATTTTATATTGCATTTTTTCTTGGTAAGTGATATGTGATTTAATTCAGATAGTATTTTTATGTTATTAATGTGAATTTGTCAACTTTCTTGTGTTTTTTGGGCTGGTGCTGTGCAATTTAATTGACCTTGTATTGGATTAAGGTGAGTAAAACATTTTTCCATTTTATACTCACTTGAAACCAATTATATTAGCCTTATGCTTGTATATCCCCCCCCCCCCACCCTGGCTTTTTTTTTTCCCACCTCATTTTGTTAATAAGTTTTATTAATAAATTTGTATTTTAGTTGTGGTTCCTTTTTCTCGTCCTTATATTTTCTCACTGTGCAAATCGTTGTGTTTTCTTGGTCAATTAATATTTATCAACATATTCTTCTGACGATGTGTTGGTCGAAATGGAACTCTAATGTCTTTCTGTGTTTTTTAACCCTGTATATATATTCTGTGGCATCAAGTTTCAGTTATATATATATATATATATATATATATATATATATATATATATATATATATGTGTGTGTGTGTGTGTGTGTGTGTGTGTATCTGTATAAAGAAGAGTATATGTACACACACACACATTATATACACACACACACACACATAGACACACCTCAGTGCTAATCCAGATATCTCACATCTGCTTGCCTTTGGGATTCTTAGCATTGTTAGCATGAGCTGTTGCCGTGTTGTGCAAGCCATTCATCATAGATTCAATCATAAATTATTTGATGAATGTTTAGATCATAACATTATTAATAAAACTGTAAATTTTCTCATACCAATGGAAGAAAAAAGAAATACCCCCATCTACCCTAATTTTGTGTTACTATAAAACAGTAATCTACATAGACATAGAAAACTATTTTGGAATTAGTAGTTGTAAAGGGCAATCAACATTTACCTGGCATCATTAAATCTTCCAGTCAGAAGCAAATCACCTCTGATTGCAATGAAAGTGTCTCGACCCCAGTTTCGGGCAAATCCACTGGCAAAGTGAGGAAGACCTGAACAATAAAATGATTCTGAATTAGTCAAAAAAAAAAAAAAAAACAAACGAAAAGAATCACAAGCTTTGTCAAAGACATTGGTTTGCTGAGCCACAAATCTACATGATCCAAGGTAATTTCGCCACAAATAATGATAACAATACCTGCAGCCAGGGAGAGGACATCCAGATGCTTTCTGCCTTTCTCGTCAGTATACAGGGTCTTTGGACGAGGTTCATGAATGTCATCGGCCAGTGGGGGAAGTTCAGCATGTTTGACAAATCCACAAAACTGGATGGAACCCAAAGCAAGAGCTTGGACAAATGATGAACCTTCAACGATGAACCTGAAAAAAAAAGGTGCAAAAATTAACACAAAAATTGTATATTAGTGAATAAAGAAAACCATAATATTCTAGTTAGGTTAAAAAAAAATAAAATGGTTGATAAAATTCATTTTCTACAGCTTATCAACTCTTTGCAGGTTATTTAAAGCCAGAAGATATTTTTAGATGTAAGTAGTTTTATTTTTTTTGAGATAATAATGGTTTAGTGATAAAAGTTTTACTAATTAATCCATAGCAGAAAGGAAAAGAGATAGATTCATGCCTGATCAGAATTTGATAAACAAACAAGAAATTATGTGGATGTAAAGTGGGGGATCAATTCTATAATACAATTAATATATAAGCGGATCCCTCTTTTTGTGGCCACAGTAGTTTCTATACATTTCTATTCCAGAGAATGTAAATAAATCCAAAAGACATGCCTGTATAGCTAATCAGTATTTCATTGACTTACTGATAGATTCATTTATACAGTTTGTCAACCTTTTGCAGGTTATTTAAAGCCATAAAATATTTTTAGATTGTAAGAATTTTTTTTTTAAGATAATAATGATTTAGTGATACAAGTCTTACTAATTAAGCCATAACTGGGAGGAAGAAGAGATGGATTTATACCTTATAGGATATTTGCACATAAGGAATCCAACAAAATTGGAACTCGACTCTCCGATTAACAATTCTGAGCCATTATCTATTACATCACCTTCACATCAAAGCTTACAGTACCTGCTATACCCAAGTAGTCACCCATCTATGTGCTGACCAGGTTTGATGTTACTTAACTTTGGGAATGAAATGGTAATTTCCAAGAAGGTATGAGTTAGCATAATGGTCATTCAAATTTCAGCAGAAATTGCTTGTAGTTTTAAATCGTAAAAAAAGGCATGAATCCACTTCTCCCTACACTTTGACAAGTCTCCAGATATCTTGTTAAAAATCTCTTCTCTTGGATTTGCTACAATAATCAAGGAATAAGAGAGTGGATAAGTGAGTTTCTTAATAATACTCAACCAATAACAATCGGAGGAAATAGGTTGAAACTATCGACAATTTGATAGTGATTCAAAATATATGTGTAAATATATATACAATCTTCAGCCTGAAGATTGTGTTCAACCATGAAACAGACTGTCTTCAATTGATGTTGACTAGTGTCTACTTATATTTACCTATGCTCTATTCATGATATTCAGCACTTTTTACCCATAAATAAAGTATACCATAAAACTACATATACATATATATATATATATATATATATATATATATATATATATATATATATATATATAGACATATATATATATAGACATATATATATAGACATATATATATATATATAGACATATATATATATATATATATAAATGACAATAGGAAAACTGTAGTTATTGCTGACGCGTTTCGTCCAATGTGAACTTTCTCAAAGCAAAAAATGAAATGAATTTAATTAAAGAAAGTAACTAATAATAACAAAAAACAGAATGTTCTTAGCAACTGGAGGAATGTAGAGAACGCTATTTTCATATTGTTAACTGAAAATAACGTAGGTTATTGTCACGTGTGGAGAATATTGACATTATAACTGTGTTGGCAGATTCAACCATTTTTTTTTTTGCTTTGAGAAAGTCCACATTGGACGAAATGCGTCAACAATAACTAGTTTTCCTGTTGTCATTTATATTTATAAATATTTTTTCTACAGGTTAACTCTGAGAAATTTTCATATATATATATATATATATATAATGGCTGGCTGCTTATTTCTGAGTATACCCATCTTCTAAGGTGGCTAGCTAATCCCTGTTAGACACTGACAGGCACATTTGTGTATCTTCAACAACCACAGAGGCAGACTGGTTTATGCTGCAATTGTGTTTCAAGGAAGATAGTTACAGTTCCTAGGAGAGAGCACATAATATGGTGTGAGTAATATTTTGAACAAGGCCAGAGCACTCAAATAATATGGCATGATTACCAATTTGGACATGACCAGTATGCTCTCTCTCACTCACAATGACTTGTGACATTGTGTTAACACAACATTCGATGACTTACAGTTTTGTTGACATGGCTTGGGTTAATCTGTGGCATGGTTTTCAAGCACAACCTAAAGATCCTGAATGCTGAGATCACCGTCCAGAGCGATGTGAAGAAGTCACCACCTTGATAAATGTTGGGACTTAAAATCTGGCATGATCAACAGTTTGAACAAGGTCAGTTGGCTTGAACTCTCATTCACTACCCAAAAGTTTCATCTACCTAATTTCACTCACAATACTTGGGTCATTGTGTAGGCGTCAGGAACTTTACAATGGTGCCATGCACTGGGATCATCATCACTAAACAACATAAACAAGAGGTTAGTTCTTTGACAAACCAACCATCATGAGATGGTTAGATTTTTACCCAGGTTTCATGATCAGAACACTATTGTTCAGACCATTATAAATTTTATATATATATATATATATATATATATATATATATATATATATATATATTATATATATATAAGAACTAATGGATCTCATTTATTAATCCAATATATTTTTATTATTTTAAATGTTACTTTTAGTGAATACTCATATTTGAGTAGAGGCTCTGTTTATTTTAAACAGTATTTTATTTTGTCTACCAGGTTGAACATTTGAGAAATCTTATTAAAGAAAATGTGTTATCTGGCCTGATTTGGAACTGCATCCCCCTTTGCAGGGGAAACCATCATTTGATCCAACATACTTCAACTACAAAGAGCTTCATAATCAAGCAAGGAAATAAATCTGAATGAGTAAAGTGTTCTTTAAAAGAATGTTCTTTCATTGTTCTCTCTCTTTAATGGCTGGGTTTTTTTTTTCTAATATTCTCTAACACTCAGTGACCCCTTGCGTTTTAGTGTCTTTATTGCCTTGCCTGCAGTGAAATGATTTAAAAAAATACACAGTTTAAAAAAAAAAATGGAAACATTTATTTCAAACACAGGTATCCACAAAAAAAAACGTTTGAAGTAATAAAAATGTTGAATTAATCGTAATTCCATTAATTCTTTATATGTACATTATATATATGTTAGAGGTATAATACATGTTTTGTGTGTATATAAGTGTTATGCCACCAGAATAATTCACTACATACACATAGGCAAATTGCTCATGTATTGTGTATGTAGTGGACTCTTCTGGAGATGTAGTGTGGAAATACCACAATAGAAATATAATAGAAATATTGTGTCAAAGGAAGCTTTAAGTTGTAATCACTTCTGTAAGTAAATACATTTTTAAAGGGTAATTGTAGGGGAGATTTTTTCAGAGGGAAAATAAATACTTTATATTGCAGGAAAATGGTAATTTTGAAAGCCTGTTGAAAAAAACACGGAGCTATGAATAAGACCTTTCATGCAATTAGATATAACATGACCACCATATAGATGTCAAAGTATTATAATATAGCATTCTTGTTTTTCTAGAATCATAGCTACACATGCAGGTCTATAAATACTTACTCAGACATCATATCTATGCTGTTATCCTTCATTATCATAAAGGCCCCAGACACAATGGCATCAAAATAACAAGGAATCAAATAACGAGGAACTTTGCGAAGACATCTGAATACACTTTCAAACCATTGCCCAAGCTGGAAAGTAAATTGATTTCAAGATTACAAAAGCAGAGTAACAATAAAAAAAAATTAAATCAAAATTTAAATAAAAACCAGATCAACAACAAAAATTCAATATTTTATGTTTTTTAGTCTTTTGAATAAAAACCCTTGATAATGAATTGATAATTCAGTTCAGACATGAAGAGTTCAAATTCCAATCAAGTCTGTTGCATTCACTTTCACATAAATATCCATAGAAAGGTATGAATTTATGTCTTCTCCCTGCTCCAGGTAGGATTAAACAGTAGGGTAGATTGGACACACTAGCCTTGGTTGGCAACCAGTCTAGGAAAGTCTGAATTCAAAATCTGTTGTGCATGTAGCTAGCAACTCCCCACAAAAATCTCCAAAATGTAATTGCTATGGAAACCACAGTAGCAACACTTCATGTGTTGAGATCGTGGTCCAATACTCCCCAGTGGAGTCTACAGGACTTACTTACCTACTCACTGCATAAGGATGGTCTCCAAACAGGCCATGGTGGATTAGGTAGTTCCTCTCCAATCTCCAGAAGCCGGATGGTGCCCATGCCATTACTTATATTCATTTTTAGCTTGCACAACACAACGTGGAATCTCAACATTGAACAGCCTTGATCCAATGACAAGAAAACAGTCAAGGTAAGTGGGGACCATCTGTGCTACACATGATTCATGTATGCTTATGGTAAATCACTGATGGAGGTCATTAATACCCGAATCATGACACACTGATATGACCTCTCAATAGCTTACAGCACAGTATGAACTTAAACACATGATGACCATTTATGCATTAAACAATCATAAGCATCACTGATTTTTCAATGTAAAAGATTCAAATAGATTGTTAGTGATGGCTGTGCCAAACTATAGTCAAATATGGCTTGCACAAAACTGCAACAGTTTATATCAACTAAATATTCAAGAGACAAGAAGAAAAACATATACTGGTTTTCTTTCTCCAAGATGAATACCTTAAGAAATTCTCAGGGGTCTATCACTTCCAGTGTGCTTACAGCAAACCTGGACACTCACCCAGCTATTTCTACATTCCAGTGCTTACATACACTTTTTTGGTTACCATACAACAACTGCTAAACATCACTTTTGTAATAAAGCCTTTGGCAAGGCATGACCCTAATCTTCCCTGAACCTTGTGCTATCAACATTTATATTGATATTCATTTTTTATTCTGGTATTACAATGAGAGATCAGAATAGATGAAAGTAGAAATGAACTTTCCATTTGCTCAATAATTATTTGTGTCAACACTACAAACAAAAACTTTGCTATATTTATAGCCAATGATAATAGGCTGAAGCCATTAATTTCCATCAATGCAAAAGATAAAAGCAATTAAATACCATGCATAGGAAAGGTAGAATCCATTAAAATTCACCCACATCAGAAAAAGAGGGCATTAAAGTCCACCAGCAGTAAAAATAAGTAAAGTTCATCCATAGAAAAAATAAGGAAACTCCTCTAAAACTAAAGACATAAGCCATTAAATTTCACCCTGAGAAAAAAGGCAATTAAATTCCACCCACAGAAAAATACAAACCATTAAGTTCTACCCACAGAAAATATAAATTATTAAATTCCACCTGCAGAAAAAAAGTGTTCATTCAATATCACCCACAAAATACTAGGGTAGGCTGAAAAGTTTGTTGGCTTCCTTAGATACTGTGGAATGTGACTAAATGAGGTTTATTTCTCAACACTCCCCTTTACAGTCCACACACTTCTTCCATCGGGGTTACAGTGCTAGGATCCCTTGAATTCTACCCATACAAAAAAATATTAGACAAAATAAATGATTATTTTCACCCACATGAAAGAATAAAGATTATTAAATTTCACCCATAGAAAAAAATAGCTGATAAAATTATGCTCACAGGAAAAATAAATCAGAAGCAATTAAACTTCACATAGTGAAAAGGTAGAGGCAATAAAAACTACTGACTGTAAAATTAGAGGCCATTAAATTCCATCGACATAAAAGTAAGAATCCATTAAAATACAGTAAAAGATACCAATTTTAGTTATTCTTTCTATTGATTTTTGAGATCAAAAATAACAAAAACAGAGTTTAAAAAGTAAGAAGAATGATGTGATGGAATAACCTGCCACCCCCATGAGTGGCGGCACTGTAGGTGGTAACCACCAATAAGTGTCCGTGAGGATAGCAGACAGGAGAGTCGAGTTGGGATCTGCAAGACTAGCGGCCTTCCGATAACAGCATGCACACAAAAGTACTGACTTGCGACGACCATGCGCATAGCTATTACTACCTTGCTTGTTGTACTGGTTTCTAAAATAAACTTGTTACTATTTATCCACCATGTTTGTCCATTCCATATTCCTATTAACACAGAAAGATAATCTATGGAAAAAAGTTTCTGTAGAGTAAAAATGGCAAGATGTTGAATTCCTTTAAATGTCAAACAAATATAAATTGTGGGGCACTTCGACATGGTGTATTGCCTTGCTAGATTGCTAACAACTGAGTAGTGAGTTCGATCCTCACTGGGTATTCCACACTTTTGATCTTGTGCTACATTTAAGCTATGCTATTAAAATCACCATATAAATATGAACAGAATCTTTTTTTATTCTTATTTTTTCAGTACCACTAGAATACATCCAATCACAAACCACTGGGTATTCCACACTTTTGACCTTGTGCTACATTTAAGCTATGCTATTAAAATCACCATATAAATATGAACAGAATCTTTTTTTATTCTTATTTTTTCAGTACCACTAGAATACATCCAATCACAAACCACTGGGTATTCCACACTTTTGATCTTGTGCTACATTTAAGCTATGCTATTAAAATCACCATATAAATATGAACAGAATCTTTTTTTATTCTTATTTTTTCAGTACCACTAGAATACATCCAATCACAAACCACTGGGTATTCCACACTTTTGACCTTGTGCTACATTTAAGCTATGCTATTAAAATCACCATATAAATATGAACAGAATCTTTTTTATTCTTATTTTTTCAAACCACTAGAATACATCCAATCACAAACCACTGGGTATTCCACACTTTTGACCTTGTGCTACATTTAAGCTATTTTAAAATCACCATATAAAATATGAACAGAATCTTTTTTATTCTTATTTTTTCAGTACCACTAGAATACATCCAATCACAAACCACTGGGTATTCCACACTTTTGACCTTGTGCTACATTTAAGCTATGCTATTAAAATCACCATATAAATATGAACAGAATCTTTTTTATTCTTATTTTTCAGTACCACTAGAATACATCCAATCACAAACCACTGGGTATTCCACACTTTTGACCTTGTGCTACATTTAAGCTATGCTATTAAAATCACCATATAAATATGAACAGAATCTTTTTTTTATTCTTATTTTTTCAGTACCACTAGAATACATCCAATCACAAACCACTGGGTATTCCACTTTTGACCTTTGTGCTACATTTAAGCTATGCTATTAAAATCACCATATAAATATGAACAGAATCTTTTTTTTATTCTTATTTTTTCAGTACCACTAGAATACATCCAATCACAAACCAAATACTTCACAGAAAAGACACACTTTGTCAACATATACATGTCATAATTCTAATAGGGGTTTTAAAAACTTCAAAAGTTTTATGACAAATGCAAATAACATTTACATCTCTTGTGTTTGCATGAGCTTTAAGTCTGTCTGCAATGTAACCAGGCAACCAGTCTCCATCCCTGAGGTTGTTGCACACAGGATGTCCAAGGTCATTATTACTACGAATTCTGTTCAGTAGATCACAGATACCTGAAAATTAGAAGAAGCCATCTTTAATATGAGATCAGAATTAAGCTTATTTAGCAACAACCACAAAATATAAGAGAACATACTGTTCAAAGCAAAAGTCTTGTCTTTCTTACTTTATGTCCTGTGGATTCGTTATATTCACTTAGGTGCAAATACTTTTGGGAAAGGTATGCATTCATCTCTTCTCCCCGCCACCACCAGCTAGTGAAGGATCAGTTTATATATTGATTGCAATATAGAATTGATAACTCACTTTATATCTACATTATAATTTCATGTTTGTTTATTAAATTCTGATTAGGTATGAATCTGATCCTCCTCACTGCAGCTATGGGCTATTTAGTAAGACTTGTATCACTAAATCATTATTATCTCAAATAAAAAAATTATTAAAATTTTACAATATTTTCTGGCTTTAAATAAACTACAAAAGGTAGATAAGCGATAGAAAACAATCAGTCAATGAAATACTGATTAGTCAAAAATTAAATTATTAAAATTTTAAAATATTTTGATTATCTATACAGGTATGTCTTTTAGCTTTATTTACATTCTCTGGAATAAAAATGTATATAAGCTATCATGGCCACAAAATGAGGAATCAGTTTATATATTGATTGTAATATAAAATTGATCCCCGACTTTATATCTACATTCTAATTTCTTGTTTTTTTTATCAAATTCTGATTAGGTATGAATCCAACTCTTCTCTACCCATAATTTGTATCACTAGACCATTATTATCTCAAAAAAAATCTTACAACCTAAAAGTATTTTCTGGCTTTAAATAACCAACAAAGGGTTGATAAGCTGTAGAAAATGAATCCAATCAAAAAACAATTTATGTCATGTACTGAATACTAGACAAACAATAACTAAGCACCATACTTTTTAGCTTTTACAACTAGAACCTGCCTAGCCACATCCACAGAGTTGAATCACCCTCATTTTTCATATATTCTTTTGGTAAGAAGGATGTCTCGCTTAAAAAGTTTCTTCCTAAGAACTGCTAGTTTGTGGAACAGACTCCTGCATAGTTGTTATAATCTTAACCTCTTCTACTTTAGGTTCAATCCTTATCTATCCCTCATATCCTCATAATTTTCACTTCCTACTTCCACCTCTTATGTTTACATCACACCTCATTCAGTAACCCTCTATCTTGAGTGGCTCTTGGGCTTTGTCTTAGGGTGAACCTTAGAAAAAAACATTTTTTAAATTAATGATATTTTTTATTAGAATGATGGAAAAGTTTTCATCATTTTCTTGACAAAATTTTTCATTCATACAAATCCATAACATCATTATTCAGTCATCAAAATATTTCTCTTGCTTTTCTATGAACTTACTCTGAGCTGCATAATGGTTGGCTGTGAGAATGAGTGTTGTCATGCAACAAAGATCACTGACCAACCTCTTTGCCAAGAACAAATGCTATCTCCTCTCCATTACAGTTAAATGATCACCATAACATTACACATAGTGTGGCAGAAATACTTCCCTTGTATACCTCCCACATAATGGTTAGACATTAGCTAGATGAAGACACCATTGCCACTAAAGTCTTACCATTACAGGTATAGATGGGAGGTATTTCTGTTTCACCCTGTAGCTAAAATCTTACCATAATGTGGGAGGTGTTTTTTCCGCACTATGTAGCTAATGTTGTGCAATTATGTGAGAGGTATATATAGGAGGTATTTCTGTCGCATCTTGTAGCTAATGTCTTATGATTATGTGGAAGGCATTCCTGAGAAGTGTTTCTGCTGCACCCTGTAGCTAACATCTTCCCATTATGTGGGAGGTATTTCTGGGAGGTACATGTGGGAGGTATTTCTACCACACCCTGTAGCTAACGTATTACCATTATGTGAGAGGTACTTCTGCTGCACATTGTACAGTAATATTTTTAGGTTCCTGCAATTAATCATAATCCAAAAAAATCACTCTTGAATCCCACCAAGTACAGAGAATTCCCCACCCCCAGTAGATTTTGTTTAGGTTAAAATGTTCAATCTCATCTTGGAACTACCTAGACATGATTTTCTTCATCTCTGATTCTCATAATAAATCCATTTTTCATTGCCAGTGATTATCATGACAAAGAAGACAATGACAAATTTTTTAATGCTGACTGGTGTTCCTTATCAAGAGTTCATGTGGAACCTAGTTTTCTAGCTTCTGAATTTTTTGTAAGAGAAATACATTGCTTGAACAAGTACATAAGCAATAAAGAACTGAGACAGACACTTCTAAGATTTTTCTAGCACTTTGCAAATGCACTTTTTTATATATAATTAATAATAAAATCACAGTCTATAATAATAGAATATAGGACCAAAATAATTTATAAAGATAATCCAAAAGAAGAAAAGTAGATATGTTACTCTACATTGGCACTTCTGTCAGGGGCTGAATTTTGTGAAAAGTGCAAGTTTTCATCTTTCCCTGTCGGTATCAAATTATCCAATTTGATACTCACTGGACATATTGAGGGGAAGAGGAAAACCGCAAGCAGTCTACTTCACAAGTTTGTGTAGTAAAAAAAATAAACATTGCTAAGAGTTAGAAAAGAGAGGAAGTTTTAGAAAGCCATGGTCACCCACGTCATGAAGGACACAGTACATAAAAGAAAAAGAAGCTATGTTACATGGAATGCTTTTAAAAAAGCCGAGAAAATTTTTTATTAATTACATATATATTCGGTGTTGGAATGAATTAGACTTCTATTTTGAATCTGCTTATCATTTTTTTTAATAGCGATGTCAAGCCTTAGATAAGAATGGTGAAGCTTGAGTTGTTGCTTTGGATATCTCAAAAGCCTTTGAGAGGGTTTGGCATACTGGTCTTCTTCACAAGTTAAAAGGTTATGGTATTTCTGTACAAATTTTTGAATTGATACAGTCTTTGCTTATCAAATTGCAAAATGAAAGTTGTCTTAAATGGCCACTCATTTAGAGCTTTTTACATTAATGCAGGTGTCTCCCAGGACTCTGTCCACTACATGTTCCTAATTTTCATCAACAAATTTTCTGTTGGTATCAGATCCCAACTCGGTATCTATACTGATGATATAAACATTTATTCCTGTCTTAATAGTAAATCTGATCAGTTTGATAAGGTCAAATTGGCAGCTGATCTGAAAATGATCTACATTCTGTTGTTAACTGGGGCAAGGAATGGCTTGTTAATTTCAATGCCTCCAAAATGAAACTGCTTTCTTTTAAGTGTTTGAGAGAACTCTTTTTACCTGGACTGGAGCTGCTCAATCCTCACTTGAGAGAATTCAAAATCATTTATACAGCTTTGAGGCTGCTGTTAAATCTCATGCCATTTGGCCCACGAGAGCCACCTTGTTCTCTTCCTGTTCTCACAGTCTTGGTAGGGCATCAGAATATCCTCCTGCACAAGATGAATCCTTCCAGCAGCTGCAATATCATCTCCAGTCTGCCAGATGCCAGTTCAAACTGGTAGATACCCCTGATAGGGTGGTCATCAGGTTGTCACAGGATTTGACTGATCCAACAAACAGCGCTGAGCAATGGTGCAGAGGGTGCTTGGCTGACCTATCAGAAGCTGTTGCACGGCCACCATAGTGGTCTCCAGAGGCCTCTCATGACACCTGCAGACAGCCTACATCTTCTGTTGATCTCTGCGAGGATGTCACCAGTGTTGGAAACTTCCAAGCCCAGGTACACAAAAGATGTAATGAACTTGACAGGGTCACTGCAAATGATGATGGGCAGTGGATATGCCTCCTACATGCATCAGCTTTGACCAGATGGCATGCAACCCAAGCCTTGTCACCGCCTTTTTTGAACATATTGATTGCCCCCTCGAAACCAACCAGCAAGCAGCAGAATAGTGTCATGTCAGTGTAGCCTGAGTCGGTTAGATCACTGTTTTCCAAGTTGAACACCAGCAAAGCGGTCACACACTGCATTCATGAGTTGGTCAGCTTTAGGGGATTGAGGTGGGGGTAACTTATTTTCCAGCCTTTTTCTCCATAGATGCAACATATTAAACCTATCACTACTCTAACACTATATACATGACAAATATTTTGATAATCTTTGGTTAAACTTATTCAGGCTTTTACAGCTCAAGACTCACCATGCTATGTTCACAGAATTAAATCACCCTAATTTCCTCCATGTACCATTTGTATTTGAGGAGTACCCTTATAACAGTTTTCTCCCCAAGAACTGCTATTTTATGGAACAGGCTCTATCATGGATGCATCCCAGATTAATACAATCTTAACCTCTTTAAGTGAAGAGTCAATTGTTATCTATCCTCCTTATCCTCATAATTCTTACTTCCTACTCTTGCCTTCATATCACACACTTCATTCAGTTACTTTGACTGTCTTTCAAGCCTTGTATTAGGTGAACTTTTACTATAAGTAAAACTAAAAATTAGTGGTAATAAATAACCATGTGTATATTTAAAAGAATAAAAATAATGAAAATAATAAAGAAAACAATAATAAAAATAAAGGGTCGACAAAAATTGCTGTTAAATATATTGTTATATTTACCTTGTAAACCACAGTAGGTGAGGCTTCCAAAGTTGGGAATGTCATAACTTCGGAATCCCTTTCCATCAGATTCATCTTCACTTGTCACACGGAACATGGCTCTGTTATAGGCAGAGAAATCCATTTCGCTGACAATTTCTCTGAAGTTGGAGGCTTCAGAGTCCTTGTCAAAGAGAGAGCGGCCACTGTAAGATCTCATCACATAACCAAATTGGTTCAAGTGACTGCGAACCTTCAGAATTGCGTCTTTAGATTGTATTGGAAGTGAAAGTCTGAAAGAAACAAAGAATTCTCATATTTCCCAAAATGCATTGAAATAACATATATTTTGATCTTTTGGTTTTATTTATTGGTATGAAAGGACTGATGCAAAATTATTTTTAACAATGATTTACACTTTTTCTATGGATTCTATGGATCAAAAAATCTGGGAGAAAATAATAGTGATACCATAACAAGCATCATACTGTAGGAGGCAAAATCAGCAATTTTGCTTGGACCTTTTGAAGTCTATATCTACTGACTTTATTTTTGTACTTAAAACATAAACAAAGTAATTATTAAAGAAGTGTACCTCCTGAGAGGAATCAAACATCTACTCAAAAAACATGCAGCCACTAATTAGATATTAAAGTAACAGAAAATAATACCACATTAAAATAATTCCATCAAAAAAAAATATTTTTTGTCTAAAGAAGTCCTTTTGAGGGATGAAACGTAGTTTTTTTTATTTAATATATATATATATATATATATATATAGATAGATAGATAGATAGATAGATAGATACTATAGGCCAAAGATTAGGGGGTTTTAATAACTAGAATGTTTCCTACCTTCTTTGGTTTATTTAATTCCTACTAAACTAAGACAGTGAAACCAATTAATATATACCATCCAATGTTTCTTACAGAGAGGGTGTTACCTAAAATTTAAAATCAACTAACCCTAAGATTACCATTAGCCAGCAAGGTAAATTAGGTGGAAGGAACTAAAATTTTAAGAAAACTTGATGAAGTAATAGATTAATTTCATTGTTAATATTATTAGAACCGAATATATATGATAAAACCCCTTGAAGAGAAAGATCCTCTGGCCCAATGTGAGATACTAAATTAGTTTTGAAATTCTTAGGTAATTCTTCAAAATCCAGAAGTTAGACTCAAACGCTTGGCCTATAGAGTGCTTATATATATATATATATATATATATATATATATATATATATATATATAGAGAGAGAGAGAGAGAGAGAGAGAGAGAGAGCGCAATGTTTAATTACATGTGTGTACCACCACTTTTTTGATATTGCTAGAAGAGTCCATGAAAAGAGATGAATAATTTTAATGTGTTTATACTGGAAATATTGTGCAAAAAGGAAAACTTAAATGGTGATTTTACATGTGCATAAAAGAAAATTGGCTATACTACTGTAGATAAATAAACTTGTAAACTAACATATATATACGTGTGTGTGTGTGTGTGTGTGTGTGTGTGTGTGTGTGGATGGTTTGCTTGCTGGCCATTCATATTCAAGGATGCTCGTTTACTAGGACAGCTACCAATCCCTGTTGTAGATGACTGCTTAGGCACATTTGTGCTTGTTCAACACCCATAGAGCCCACCTGTGGTTTATACTGCAACTATGCTGAGAGAGAGAGAGAGTTCATTATGTAGCATTATTAACAATTTGAACAAGGCCAGCAGATGACTTGTGACTTTGTGCTAACACAATCTTCGATGCCTCCCCAAAGATTTCCGTCTACCCAATCCGCAATCACCTCCTCCAGACCAATAACACCTTTCTGAAAAACTGACCATGGATAGACTCAAACCCATGTCTCATGGCCAGAAAGTGGACGTGCTAACCACTCAGTCACATGCATTCATTAGAACATGAAAAAGTTATCCATTATGGAATTTTTTCCTCTATGTTATAAAAATCCATAATGGATAATTTTTTTCATGTTCTAATGAACACTCAGCACATTGTCAACCATTTGCATTTAAAAGCATAAAGAAAAATTACAGTAATGGTTAGCAACGCACAGCTTTGTATAAATACTTGTACCCTTGAACAACATATAGTTTTGTACTACTTGCACCACTGAAGACGATCTTGGAAGAAGATCGAAAGTACTTGGGAAATGAAAATAAAAGAAATTTAAACAGCACATTTCTCTCATCTTTTAATATCAATACATAAAAGGTTATTTGTGAGTATGAACAGATTTTATTAAAAATTAGCAGACATAATGTCTGTAATTTATTCTATCAGAAATGCCTAAGATCTATGTATGTATATATCTATGTATATATTGGGTTGGGAAATAAGTCATGAGCGTATTTTTGAAAGTAAAAATTTTTGGGAAGCCAAACATTTGACAAATGTTTTACAACAACAATTTCTTATTGTTGTTCTAACATTTACATATAGGTATGATTACTTTTTGGTTCTATTTCAGACCCCTAAAATGGAATGTCAAGTAAACAAAACTTCTCATTTTCGACACCTTTTGCTTTTTGCACATAATCAAGGAGTTAACGCTGCTAAATCAGCTTTTGAAGATTGTGACATGTATGAAGATGGCACAATGCTTCAAGTTACCTTGTCAACCAGTTGAGTTTGATGAGGAGCAATTAAACCTGTTTCTTCACAAAAATTCACATCAGATAACCAGAGAACTGGCAGAACAGATGATTTGCAATCACATAACTGTATTAAATCATCTTCATTCAAATGGGAAGGTTCAGAAACTTGGTTCATGTCACATGCATTGAATGACCACAATAAGAATCAATGTGCAACAATTGCAGCCAGTTTGCTGGCTCGGCATCACTCAACATACAGTCATAAACAGTGTTTTCTTTATTGCATTGTCACTGGCGATAAAAAATGGTGTCTTTGCATCAATATGAAGCAGCTTAAAGAATGGCCCAGCCCCAATAAGCAAGCAACAACTCAAGCAAAACAAGACCTACACCCTCAAAAGATCATCTTGTATGTATGGTGGCACTGGAAAGCCATAATTTATTATGAATTACTTGAACAAAACCAAACGGTAAATGCCGAGCTCTACGTTTAACAACTGCACCAACTCTGTGAAGCAATTCAGCAAAAAAAGACCGAATCAATGACAAAGTGTTCTTCTTTAGCACAACAATGCCCGTCCTCACATCGCCAATATTCAAGAATTTGGATGGGAAGTGTTGCCTCATTCTCTGTACTCGCCAGACTTGAAACCATCAGATTTTCATCTTTTTCAATCTCTTTTCAATGCATCCATTCTCATAAACACATCACTTCAGAATGCTCCACAAGTTTTCAATTGAAAAGTCTTGAGAATTGAATGGCCAAGGTCCACACAAGCCTAATTTCTGCAGGTACTCCATAGTTTTCTGCACTCAGTCCGAAGGAGCATTATCTTGCATAAATACGATGGTTCTCCTGAAGATGATTCTTTGCTTTTTAGCCAAGATTCCAGTTACACTTTGAGGAAGGCTATATAAGCATACCGTTAAGCACTCTCCAAAGACCAATCATGATATCTGCAATAATACCAGCCTGAATCATAATACCTCTTCCATCTTGTTGGCATCTCAAGTGTTGATGACGATCTCATCCATTTATGACCCAATCTTTGTTCTAACCATCAGGGCAATCAAGTGTTGCACAACTTTTATCTGTGAACAAAACGTTTTTAGAAATCGACCTTCATGTTCTCCTTTGTCCATTTCAAATGCATTGTATGTGTACTTTTGTCAATCGAGGCTTTGTCACTGGTCTCACTAATGTCCCGACCTTTTTCAGAAGATGATCATGAGTAATTCTGGACACTGTTGCTGCTCCACTACTCCTGAAAAGTGCTCTGCTAGTCACACCTGGGTTATTTACAGCTTCACGTTTCATTCGTGATAAAGAACATCAGGAAACGACACTTGAGTGACCCTTATCAGCCCTCTTATGTACATTGGTAGGAGCTGCAACAAATCTTATTTTCCAATTATATTGGATATTTCTAATGTAGATTTGTCTTTGGAAAGTTCAGATGTTATATCTTTCTCAGAAGGGGTCAATTCGCATTTGCAACCAATAATTGCACTATTATATGACACTCATTCATTCTATATGGTATCAACATTGCAAATGGCCAGTGTTTGTTTCATGTTACGCAAAACAATACAGATTTTTATACAGCCTGCACATATACCTATTCCCATTATACTGTGAAAATTTTAAAAAATTCCAACTGGTAGTTTTTGAACAAAATCAAAAAATGCCACCTCATTAATAATTTGAAACACAGTCTATATATATATATATATATATATATATATATATATATATATATATCCATCTATGTATGTATGTATTAATGTAGCAACTAAGCCTCTAAACAATAAATTGTTGCTGTTTGTCTGTGGTGTTGTAGTATTATTTATCATTACAAGGTCTGATCAAAACTATCAGGACTTGTGCAATATAAAGAAAACTACATATCAATTCAGCATTTAATCTCCTTTGAAGTAGTCTTCTGAAACCACACACTTTATCCAGCATCATTTTCATTGAAGATATTGGAAGGTCTTGGAGATGTTAGGGTCTTCTACTGCGAAGATTCATTCTTGGTTTCAGGGTCATAGCCATCAACTCAAAATTTGTCACCTGTTATGATCATTTTCAAAAGGTTTTCTATGGCATGGTGAGACAACCACACTTTACACACTTTCCTTCCAGGCATTGCTATATACAACAGAAGTGAGCGAGAACGTTATAACTTAGTGTGTATGTGCAACAGAGTTCAAGGTCAATCTGTGTCAAGCGACTTCACTCAGTGTACTGTTACCATAGTCTGTTACCATAGCAACAGTATTGATACTTTTGGATAGACCACGTATGCACTAACATCTTCCAAGGTCATGCAATGAGTTGGGCAAATGTCAAGTGTGCAGCTAAGAAAGGGGAAATCATTGATCCAGCAATCCACTTTACATTTGATGAATGCAGCAGAGTATGTCTCTCCAGTGTAGTCTACGTTAAACACAAGAAGAGTCATATTGGTAGAGCTTTGACAAATTGCGATCATTACTACACTGGCAATAACTCATCACGTGGGGTGTGTCAGAAGACTTGCAGAAACTGCTCTGGTCTTACACATCACATGAAAACCCATGAGCAAGCTGAACAGAGTTTACAAAACAGGCTAGGCCTTGTACAGAACAACTTTGCTGCATCTGCAATAAGCATTGTAAGTCATTCAATGGCTTCAAG